CACACACACACACACTCTACCTCTCTCGCTCAGTCTTACACATACATAGACTACGCACGCTTACTGTAGTTTTTCTCCATCCCACTTCCTGTATTCTTCTCACTCAGACACATTCTTAGTCTGTCTGCTTTTCTGTCTTCCTGTATGCCAGAGGCCAATTATGATATGTTTGACAATATGAACCTGTTGCAGCTACTTTTTGGAAGCGTGAATTAAAAAAAACTGGATGTGCAGAATTGTGTTCTTTCCATTTAAACAGCAAGAAAGGCTGCTGGTTACTAGTGATTTTACAATTGATTTCTTTTTGCACTTTCCCAATGCAGCAGAGACTCAGTTTCTTGTTGATATAAGTACCAAAGCACCTATAGTTGTTCATGTGGAGAGCCATAAGTGCCTCAGCAGTGGATGTGATGTTTTTTCTAAGGTCAGTAATGGTTTTGGAAATATTCACCTTCAAAGTGATCATCACAACATTGTACTCGTCCATTGACCACAGGCTCGTGTGATGCCTCATTGGTCGGCTGGTACCTCACTCTCTGGCTTAAATACACGGCGTTCTATAAACAAATGTGTGGTTTTCAGCAGAGCACGCCATCAATGTGTCTGCTCCGTGTAGCTTGACAACTCAGTTTCACATAGCTTATTACTGAAAGGCCTAGCACGTATGTTAAGGTTAAGAAACGAATAGTGCAAGCATGCTCACGACAGCTTATTGAGATTATACTCTATATCTGTAAGATCTTCTCATCTGTCTATTTGTGCAATAGATCTTCCTGTCTGTTTATAGGTGAGTTAGCTGTGTGTAAATCAGCATTAAAGTGTTGCTGTGGGTCACTTTCTTCATGAATAGGAGAAAGGTATGACATGGTAGACTTGCCTCCAGGTTACCGTGACACTGTAAACCTTACTGTAAACTCTGTAATACTGTTGTAGCTCAGAAAGGTGATCTGTTAATCTGAACAGCCGTTAGCTAACCAGCCAGCAGCCTCATTGGGCAAAGACATTGATGTCTATGTGAACTTGACACTTGCTGCTACTTACAAGCTACCACTCAGTTTAAGTGCTTATCAGGTGCATTATGGCTGGAAAGCTAACAAACTGTAACTTTCTTGTCAGCTCTTGAATCTATTTTCCTTTTTTAAAAGCAACAAAGCAGGAAACTAGGTTTTTGTCACTAATTTAAGACAGTCAAGTCTGATGGTAACATAATCATAGTCAGCTGTTCTCAGAGCCTCAAATATGGAACACGGGGGGCCCCTGAAAAGCCCTAACCATCAAGCTCAAATTTTGTGTTTAAAGGAAACATAAAAGCTTCTGTCTCCATCTATATGACAGGACCTATTGAGAGGTTGTTGTAGACTACAGTTGGTCTCCTGGACCAATGCTAATCATTGACCGGGTGTTGAGGGCCAGTCTGGGTCCATCCAGGGGATTGACTCTTGGAAGATCAGGCCGACTTAACGTCAGTCACCACATCCTGCTGTAACAGGACACAACCAGCCTCAGGGCATATGCTAGTAAAATATTACCCGCGGCTCGTTCAGTTATTCTGTTCTGCCTTTGAGCCTGGCAGTTAGGCAAACTTGCTCTTGAAGAGAGAGTCACATGTAAGTTCAAGCACACGTGTTGGTAGCCAGTGAGAAAGTGTAGAAGGCACATCACATATATACCTCTTAACATCAGAATACAATGTGACAAACATATTTATTCCAGTATATGTGCTTTGAAATCATGTGTGACGGTCTGGAGGTCAAGCGGTCAAGTAAAAATAGTTGCGCCAGTTTCCTCACAGGGACCATAAAGGTTTTAGGTGCATCCAAGTTATCCTGCTCCACTATTCTACTGTGAAAAATAAAAAGTGGAAAGAAGAAATTCACAATATGATGCCAGAATAACTGCAGTTTTCCCTACCATTACTATA